AATCGGAGCGGAACTTAATCCGGACAAGATGAGACGTCTTTTTCTTACCTGCTTTTAAAAACCAAAGAAAAAAACACTCATAAAGTTATATAATTATTATTGTTGTTGTTGCTGTTGTTACTGTTACTGTGTCTGAAATGTGGATTGGACAGAAGGTTATAAAAACACATTTCTAATTACATTTGAACAAATAAACTAAATCAGACAATGAGGCTCATTCATAACACGAAACAGGCGTACAAACCTGTTCAGTCAAGACCATATTGAATCATCTCTATCTCTGATCAGTCTGTTGATTATGTGAGTAGCTTCTAGTATTCTAGTATTTCATTTCTGTTTATGAGATTTTACAAAAAGCAAACAGCGATGGTTTATGATCAGGGGTTTGGAGTGAGTTCACATATTCCTGAGATTCTTTGGTGGCCTGATTCAAAGTGTTGTTAATATCTACTAGGCCTATTGGATCATTATCTGACAACGACAACAACAAACTGAAAAATATTCTAGAGAATGCAGGGAGGATGATTAAACTGGAAGGATTTGTACTGAACAGCTTTGTAATGGACGACCAGTGATGCTGAGAACCTGTTTGATGACTTGAAGTGAATCCCTTTAGGCATTGGCACAGAATCATCTGAATAATTTCAGTTCATTTGTGCCAGATGACATCAGATTGTTGTGCAAGCATTAACACAAAATGTGTGTGTGTGTGTGTGTGTGTGTGTGTGTGTGTGTGTGTGTGTACTGTATGCTGAAGGTCAAACATTTCAACAGTTTGTTTTTGTTGACAATGCCTGTCCATTTTTTAAGTTCAGGCAACATGACTTTATCAGTTAGATCTTCTCCTTATATTTGTACTTATTTCAAGTCAAATAAAAACATTAAGTCATTGTCACGAGCAGAGATATGTCATTCCAGTGTGTTACCTCCATGGCAGAAGAAGGGCAGTGTTTGGTCACAGCTCTGGGGGAACCACAGATGTGCTGAATCCTCGGCTGCGCACTGTTCCCGGGCTCCATTCGCTCCCCACTTCGTAAAGGTAAGTTTGGTGCCGTCAGACCAAGTCCACTCAATATATGGATCTCGGTACAGGCCGATCCAGGTGTAATAAGAGCCAGAGGTTGAAAAGACAGAGTTCATCAGGTTGGTATCAGATGAGTTTTCGATCATTGCCAGGTCTGTGTAGTGTTCTCTGCAGTAAGTCACTGCATTGACCCAAGTACGTGTTGTGTTGATATAATGATACTGTTTTGTGTGTCCAGCTGTAAAAGGGACAAAATTCTTTAGTTTTGACAGTTCACTAACACACATTAGACATGTTTAAAAAGCAGTTTCAGGGTTTAGGTTACAAACTGAGTTCATATTGTTGTGAGAGCAGATGGAGCAGGAGAGGAGCCCTGGTCGTGCATGTCGACACACACAACTGTTCTTTGAAATCCAGCTACACTCGCTCCACTCCCATCCCTGTGTGCTCACACCATCTCCATAGTTTATCATTTCCATCATTTAACTTGTTGTGTCTGACAGGAGTCAATTTCAGGTGTATCCTTACTTGTTGCTCTGAGGTTAGAAAATGCTCGTGTAGGACATTCTTTTCTTTGAACGCATTTATCAAATCCCTGGTCGTCCAAGGAACCAATGGATGTTTGTTTTGCTTACTACATTGTTTGAAAGAAGAGGTTTTATCATATCATTCTAAAAAGATTTCCAAGAAGGCAATGCTTTGTGCTTTATTTTTATCAGTCTCTTTCATAATCCCACTACAATCATAGTTTCTTAGTTCATTTTTTAATTCCATCTATATTCCTTTTTACCTCTGTTGAAGACATGTTTTCCTTGTCCAGGAGTTGGGCCTGATATTAGCTTAATTAATGTAGTCACTTTTATCCACATCTTTCTATTCTTTTGGGTTTGTCTTTGTTTAGGATGTCAAGATGATTAAATCAATCAATAATCATGATTAGTGAGATCACAATAATTATACAAACAGTAAAATTTGTGACCATTTTAAAAGCAATCTGTCTCTGTAATTTACTTTGTCCAGTTGAAGGTTTGAGTTCATAAAGTTGGTCACGTATAAGAGGAATAGTGATAGAACGTGTGAATTTAAGCAAATGAATGATTTTGCTGTTGTTTGGTAACTGTTTAGAACTTCAGTAGTGTCCTGTTTTCGATTTGTTTTCGTGTTTTAGGTAACTCAATGAAAGCAAAAGAAGATCTCACCTGTGTAACATAAAAAAGGATGAGCATGATTACAGTAATGGTCAAACCACTTTCCATCTGCAGCATCAGCTGAGACGCAGAGGTCCACTGCAGCAGGATGATTTGTTTTCCAGTTGCTGAACGATACAAGATTTGCAGAACGTTCCAGTGGCAGACCATTTCCAGGGATTAGGATCCATCACAGGTTTCCATAGGAGATCGTACAGTCCGATCCAGGCCAGTCCAGTGTAACCCTCCGATCTGTTCAGAGCACTTGCCTCCTCCACACTCGTGACTGTGGCCAGGTCGACGTAGTTCTCTCTGCAGAACTTCTGAGCCTCGTACCAGTTCAGCTTCTGGTTAATAAAATGATATTCATGTCCATTTATGCTTGGGGTAATGCTAATCGCTGAAGAAAAAACAAACAAAACATTAACATATTAATATTAAACACAAATATAAATAAAAAATGTTCCAGACTTACCACAGAGCAGGAGTATTATAGAAATCATGATACTGAAGACTTGATATATCTGAAGGTCAGACAACTCCAGGTCAAACAAGAGCACAGACAATCTGTCCTGTTTGTGTCAAAGCAGCCCATTGTCACAGGAATTATATACAGATATTTGCAATTCAAACAAGGGGCTACTGTCATTTCCCTGTACTTGTCAAACAAGACAAAGAGACTTGCAAAACTTTTTTTTTTTAAACCTGAAAATATAATGTGAAAATAACATGCAAATGAAGTCAAAATAGTTTTGAGGCACTCTTGTGAGAGTAAAAGATGTCCTGTCCATATTTGTATATCCAACATATTTTATTTCAGCTGGTTGACATTTAAGTCGGGCATGACATAGCCAATGGCAAAGTTATTCAAATTCCTGGATGTGGAATTGTTGCGAAAGATGTAAATTGCCCCTTATTGTTGGCATGAATGTTGTAATGACCTGCTGGGGAAAAAGAAGAACCTATGGACCTGCCAGGAGACATTGGAGTGGCCAGAACTTTTGGAGTGGTAAGAAATGGCAGAATTCCTGTACACATGTGTGACCTGCACCTCTACAGTCTGTACATCTGTAGTTACCAGAAGCTGATGTGAATCATGAGCTGCTTAAGACAACTGAAATGTGCAAGAGCCAGGCAAACCATTAACAGTGTAACATCAGATAATGGCAGAACTGTTACAGATCAGATGAACGATGCTTTGCAAAGTTACTAACTTGTATAGCTCTTATAATACCAGTAACCCAGATCTTCTCACTAATTTCATTAGAGATTTACAGATTCTGGCTTTGTCTCCGAATGAGGTCTCCAGCTTGGAAGCACCTTTACAACAGCAGGAGATCATGGTGGCAAATAAATCACTAAAATCTCCAGGCAGTTTGCAGAGTGAGTTTTATGCAACATTTGCAGAAAAATTATGCAATTTTGGCCACATTATATACAGATTATGTGTTCTTCTCAATAGTTTAAATGAGGCCTGTGCTACCTTGCTCTCAAAAAATGAATAAAAACACCCTGGAGTGTGGGTCTTACAAGCCCATTTTACTTTTGAATTCTGACTATAAAATTTTAGCTAAAGTTTTGGCCCACCAATCAGATTAGGCATTCAATAGAGTGAAATGGGATAACCTGTTTGAGACACTTTTTTTTTTTTTTTTTACCCAGGATACTCACTGTGGCTCCCTGTCCATCAGTCATAGTGCTTACTAAAGCTGTTTAGTCCACATCAGGGCACCCGTTGTCAGGGCTGTCCCCTCAGTCCTCTTCTCTTTTTTTCTTTTTTTAAACCTTTTTGTACCTTTTTGTAAGTGTGGGTTATTTTCACTAAATATGGCTGACTCCATATTGGCAAAAGTTACAAGCTATGATTGCTAGGCATCGTTTTGTTTATCTCTGTGACTTTCTTCTGATCCTCATTCATTGCTGGCTGTAAATGACACATGGAATTCCATTATCTAAAAGCCTGACAATTAATAATCCTATAGTTCACAATTAAAATTCTCATGAAGATCAGTTTGTGTAGCTCAATAGCACCTAATATATGTTTTTCTCTCCTTCAGTATGCAACATTACATTTCATGGGTGACTGAGGCAAGAGCTGTTTTTTTTTTTAAATGACTTATTTTTTGAAAACACATTGCTTCACTTTTTTATGTCCCCAGGATCTTCAAATTACCATTAATGAATGAGACTGGGACTGTGTTTTTAGGAACATTTACTCATCCTGAGTGTGTGCAAACATTATCTTATTCAAACATTGTCTTATTCAGTTCAAAGTGGTACATAGAGTACATCTTCAAAAATCTAAATTGGCCAAGATGTTCCCTCCAGTTGAGTCAACTTGGGATAGGTATAAATCAGTGGGGCACTTTGACTGTGAGGTCTTTTCTTCTATATTTGGGATAAAATGACTCAGAAACGTCTTATGTTTTCAGTTTTATTGGCCCGTTGGTTCTGATACATTTGAAGTGGAAACGGTGCTGCACAGTATCCCACTGGACTAAATATGTGTTATTTCATCTTAAATTTAAGAAAATTAGATTTGTCTTGAAGGGCTAAGAAAAGATTTTTTTTTTTAAGTTTGAAGACCTTTCTGATCTTTTTTGACCAATCATCTGCACATGAATGACTTTTTATATGGTATATTGTGGCTGGCTTGGTTACTGAAGGTCAAAGATTTTGTGTGTGAAATACACATATTTTTTCATACACTGAAAAAAAAAAGTTGCTGGATTTGCGTAAAAAAGTTATGGACAGCGGTTGCACGCAATAAAATTATGTTTAGGCTTTGAAACTTTTTTCGATCCCCTCTACACATATTTTTCTCGGAACATGAACATCACTTTTTCATGTTGATGAAATTTGAACAAATCATGCTGAATATGCATATTTATCTTATGGTACCTTATCATGAAATGTATAAGTATGTATAATTTAATTTAATTGATCTAATTCTGTAAAAGAATACAAAAACAGTCTTTAGTTTTCCACAGTTCTGTATTGTCTTAAACAGAATCAAACACAAAGAGAGCACAGGGACAGAGACACACAGTTTGGAGCTGGACAGTGTGAAGATTTATTCCAGTGAAGAAGCTCTGGTCTCTGCCTGTGGACACACGAATAACACATGATGATCACATTCTGATGATCTACTCTGTTGTACATGTTTAAATACACTTAAAGTACTTATTACTACAATAATGGACCAGAACAGAAGAACAAGAACATTAGAAGTGTATCTGCAGAAACAAAACTCACCATGTGCTGCTTTTCTTCCTCTAAACACAGTAACAGGGAGGGCATCTGGTATAAAGTCTCCTAATGCCACATCACCTTGTACAAAACACGATAACAGTTTCAATAGGAAGTTCATTTTGAAAAAAAAATGTAAAATAATTTCTAGTTGGTTTACTTACTTTGTTCATCTGTGCTCTGTGTTTTGTTGGTTCTCAAACATCTTCCTTTTTTCTGAAACATCAACTATAACATTCATGAACTTCCCCACAGCTCCAGCAGAGCTCTGGACGTCACTCTGTGTTTGTAGACGACTCTGGAAGCAAACACAATTCAAATCTTAGTACAAGTGTCACACTCTTGTAGATGGACAGTCAAAAACAATTTGTTTCAAGGAGTCCTTACATTAACTCTAATTTCAAATAAAACAACACAAACATGTTTTAACAATGACGACATTCTAGGCCGGAGAAGCACATAATAAAATCTTTGAAAAGTCTCACCTCCAGATCAGTTCTCATAATCCTCCTGCTCCACACTGTGTGTCTCTGCTCCTGTATCTGTCCTGTGTCCTGTTACATTTGAATTTTCCCTCCAAAAGTTTTGGGGAGGAGAATTCCAGAGGGAGGAGCCTCACCAGAGATTATAATAAAGTCATGTTTCCTCAACCTGATTAAAACATGCAGGTCTCACATCGGCCACAATCAAGCGATGTTTGTAAGATTTAAACATGCTGGACAGAGAAACGTAAAAAAGTGATGTTATTGTTGTCAAATTTGTTTTTGCAATTTGAGCAACCCCTCTCGGACCGTTTTTTCAGTGTATTTTGGATATGACAGTGGACATGTTGTTATTGTGTTGTGAGGTTGCTTATATATATATATATATATATATATATATATATATATATATATATATATATATATATATATATATATATATATATATATATATATATATATTATTTTTTTTTTTCGCAGTAGTAAAATGTCATAAATATATTAAACACAGAAATAGTATTCACATCCAACTGTGCATGGAACAATTATTAATTCTAGTAAAAAAGCTGAATTATTTAGAATAACAACACACATTTTAACTACAGTATATAGTTGTGTACAGTATATAGTTGTGTACTGTATATAGTTGTGTACTGTATCACAGACTCACCACCCAGTACAAATATTCAAATAATCATGTTGCCTGTGTTAAAGAAATGGTCTAACGACTGGAGTTGCTCTGGGTCATGTGTGGATGCCCAGACAGGGAAATTATTTTTCATATATTATTTTCATAACAATTTACAATACAAACACTGTGACGCTGCCATTTCCCTGTATGAACACCGCCTATTCTGAAAGTAATCATTTTATTACTATTTTCATGAGATGAGAAAATGCACAACAAAGACTGAGGTAAATGTTGCACATGTGTTTGTTGTTTCTTCTGTCATGGTTCAATCCAGATTTGACCATTAGCTGGATGCCTCTCACACCTTTCTCCTTCGTTTATGCTGTAACACTCCTGTCCAGTATGGAGTTCCCTTTTGGATTCTGTGACATTAACTAAACTTAATGGCTTTGTTTTGTTATGCTGAGCAATAACTTTACTAAAAGGAGGGAAGGAACCAGTGACCAAAGTGAAGAAATATCATGATACTGTATATGAGTAGTGGTGGTGGTTGTTGTTAGCACTGTCCTGAGCTTGTACAGTTTCTCCATGGAAGGCACACAGGGAAGCACACTGATCTGACAGAGGCACAGGCTGTGTTAATGTAGTTCTGTTTATTTTGAACTTTAGTGTTTTCTTTACATCCAGTGTCTTTCAGATTGTTTTGTTATTCAGTTCACTTCTTACATTGTACCAGCCCATTCACACAGCATACAGTTTACACACAGTTGATCTCCAATGTCATCACGGCCAGAACGAGGACCAGCCGGCAGAAGACCAAGACCAAGGTCAAATCAAAGGCAGCAGTGGCTGTGCTGGGGCTCGGGTCACTTACATCACTTAGTCTCCAAACTCAGCCTGATGTTTGGGGAGAAGCCCACACATAATATGACCAATATGACCACAGACCTACTGAGCTAATGTGTGCCCCAGAAGGTCCATCACTGCCCCACAGAACTGTTGAATGGAGCTCCCAGCACCACAGCTACTGGCATTAAGCTCCTTTGAGGACAAGACACCAGAGAAGGAGTAACAAACTCATAGGGTTTTTATATGGGAGTAGAGGTGGTCCCACTGGTGGGCAAGTACACACATATACTGCTACAATCCCATAACAAAGGCAGGTGCTAATGGCTCTGATTTACAGTGTTACCTCCAGTGTACACTGACCACAAGGGCAGTGAGGTTCGGGTTCGGTGAGATTTTACTTGTATGCCCCACTGACTGTAATCTTTGCTGCTGCAGTCACAGCTGGAGTGTTGAAACTGCACTCCTGAGACGACGTACTCATGGGGATTCACCCTCTGGTCAGAAGTTCACAGGATAGATCAGCATGTACAAGAAGCCGTGTTGGTATTTCACACTACAACCACTTTCTCTTGCATTTGGAAAACATTTATTGTGCTTTTGGATACTATGACTATTTACAATGGGTAAGTACATTTGCATAGTACCAGGAGTGTGCAGGGATATTTTATTCTGAAAATACACCGGATCTGTCAGTTCTGTGCTTATGATTTCCTGTTTTGCTCATGTGATTTTGTCAGCTTAACCTCTGAGACCACTGAGGTGTAAAGTTAGACTTGTTTGGGGTTCTTTCCACTTTTTTTTAAGTATAGAGCTGTTGGTGGAACACTTTTGCAAACCTCTAGGGCAGAACAATATAGGATTACAAAGTACAACTTACTGATACTAATTATGGTTAACACCTAAAAGTGAATTTTCCATATGTCATATATGTGCCCTTTAAATGCAAACCAGAAATTATTATTTGTGTTCATACTCTAAAGAATCAACTTGCATAAAAAAGTCAAATACAAAGTAATTTAACATGTACATCTTAAATACAACTTTCAACTTCAAGCTTCTTTGAAATAGGCTTCCGGGTTGGTGTTTTTATGGTAATGCTGACGTCAGTGAGCCCCTTTTGTTTGAGATGTTCCTCCATCTAAACAAAAGGAAAAATAAATACATATGATAAACTACATATTCAAACAAAAACCCATGACTGAAATAGAAACTTGTAAACTTGCCTGTTGTAACATCTTTATGTAGTTGTTTGCACTGGTCATGTCCAAATCAGATTGGAACTTAATCCGGTAAAGCTTAGACTTCTTTTTCTTAGCTGGTTCCAAATACCAAAGAAAGAAAGTATTAATAAGGTTATATTATTATTATTGTTGTTGCTGTTGTTACTGTTAGTGCAGAACTTTGGAAACTGTTTATGAAAAGTGCTATATAAATAAAGTGGCATTGATAGATTGGATTGTAGCTGAAGTGCAAATGGATGAATGATGTGTAAACAGCATTCAGATGAACTCTGTCTACCTGTGACCAAAAAGCATATCTGAGCAATTCAGTCAAGACCATATTCAGTTCATCTGTATTTCTGATCACTCAGCTTCGAGTATTTAGGAACAAACATGGATAACAGCCAAGATTCAGGGGCATGTTTTTAGTTATAGGAGAAACTGGAGCAGCCGGAGGAAACCTATCCAGTCACAGAGAAAACATGCAAACTCCACACAGAAAGGCCCCACACCGCCCCTGAACTCGAATTAATCTGGATCTTAATCTGGAGGATCTGTATTAAACAGTTTTGTGAAGGATGTCAAACTGAGCAGTGGTGCTGACTAACCTGTTTGATGACTTGTATTTATAATTTCATGATGGTGATCCAAAGACAAAATACGTCTGGGGCGCACATGTTTGTCCCATGGCAACAGAGTGGTTGACTGCTTTTTTTAACATCATATCATGGGATTTTAACCACTAAGCTGAGCAGGATGTGCAAAGGACACAAGAAAGGGACAGTTGGACTGTGTAAAATCAGCTGATTGTTTTTCCCATATCCATGGAGACTGTGCAAGAGGCTGTCTAAGGATGTAGCTATGAACATGTGAGATGTTACAGGCTTTTTACACCACCCCTGGCAGCAAACGTGGAAGAAGACCTTTCAGAGGAAACACTTTGAGGGAATTTACCATTTCCTCACCAGCTGAAACTGTCTCAAGAATAACAAAACTACTTTGGCCTCTCCATTTATGTCATTCCAGTGTGTTACCTCCATGGCAGAAGAAGGGCAGTGTTTGGTCACAGCTCTGAGGGAACCACAGATGTGCTGAATCCTCAGCTGCACACTGTTCCCGGGCTTCATTCGTTCCCCACCTCGTGAAGACGGGGATGGTGCGATCAGACCAAGTCCACACACTCTTTGGCTCTCGGTACAGGCCGATCCAAATAATAGCCGACCCAGTAGTTGACACAACAGAGTTCACCTTGTCGCTGTCAGTTGAGCTTTCGATCAGTGCCAGGTCTGTGTAGTGCTGTCTGCAGTAAAGCACTGCATTGGCCCAAGTAAGTGTTGTTGCAAAATAATGATACTGCTTTGTTTGTCCAGCTGTAAAAGGGACAAAATCCCTTAGTTTTGACAGTATAACAAAAACAGTTTCAGGGTTGACATTACAGACAGAATTCATATTGTTGTGCAACAGAGCAGGTGGAGCAGGAGAGGAGATCTGTATAATTCTGTTTTGCTTATTGTATGTTTTACTCCACTGTAAATGTTGTTCAGCGCTTTGATAAGCTTTGGCTGTTTTAAATAAGCTTTACAAATAATTGATTTAATAATTTGATTTTGCTTCCTTTTGGTTTGTCTTTGTTTAGAACAGGGTGATCAAGATTATTGGATTAACTGATAATCAGAAGTAGGGAGGTCAAAATTAAGACTTTAGAATCTAGTGTTCAAAAAAGATCATTTAAATATATAGTACTTTTTTATCTGCATTTACTTTATCATTCAGCAGGTTTGAGTTAATAAAGTTGGTCATATGCTAGAGGAACAGTGATGTGTTCGATTTTAGACTTACTTTAGCTCAAGTTCAGAGCCCTGCTCTAAATAACCCCAATGAAAGCAGAGTACAGATCTCACCTGTGTAACATAAAAAATTATGAGGATGATCACAGTAATGGTTAAACCACATTCCGTCTGCAGCACCAAGTGAGACGCAGAGGTCCACTCCAGCAGGATAATTTGTTTTCCAGTTGCTGAACCACGTAGTTTTTCCAGTGGCAGACCATCTCCAGGAATCGGAGTTCACCACTGCTTTCCAAAACACATCATACAGTCCGATCCAGGCCAGTCC